ATGTTTTATTTCCTTTTAATCAGGGTGATATTTGTCTATTAGATACTCCTAGACAAATATCAATTTAAAAATAATTGTTATTTCAATGCATTAATGTTTTATTTTCTTTTGATTAGGCTGAAAACCTTGGTCTTCTCTCTGGGGCCGTGGCTGCTTTGACTGCATACTATTCAAAATCGTGCAACCAGGTTGGTAATTTTGTTATTCACTAAATCAGATTGGTTATTATCCATTCAATTTTAGATAAGATCAGTAACTGAAAATGCTATTTATAAATGAATAAAATCACGAGCTCGGCCATACAAGATCAATTTCAGTTTTTGTATATTATAATGATTATTATTATTTTTCCTTGATGACAGATATTGTACTCTCCTGTTGATACTCTCCAGCAGTTAGAACAACTTACAAACACAGTTCTTCTTCTCTTGGTTGAGTCTCAATTCCTGGATTGGTGTTTCACGCAAATCAGGTAATGACAATATGGGCAAAAACCATTTTGGAAGTCAGTTAACTCTGAAGAGGACTGCCTCTCAGGCTCTTGAGAACTTGGTGAAAAAGATATATGGGTTATTGACCAAGACTGAGGTCAATATGGCTGGATATTGGCCAAGTTCTTTTTTTGTGTGTGTGTTCATGGACTTAGACTCTGTCTGGGTCTGTACACACACAAAAAGAATGAGGCCAATATCCGGCCATCTTGACCGGACAATCTTGGTCACTAAAGGATTTATTATATGGCCTTCGTTGAAATTTTTCTTGCAGGACACGGCGGAGAGTCCCAAGCAGGCAAGATAGCACCATCTTGCCTACTTGGGTAGCCAATCACAGCACAAGATTCGGTTCATCTTGCAGCTCCCTCATTTGAGCCTATTCGAAAAAGGTGCCATTGCTTCTTCAAAGTCAGTAATGATTATGACTACAATGTGGTAGGTAATTTTGTACAATCCCTCTGTTTTAGGTCTTATTCTGCTTTTAACAAGAACAGAGAATCAAAACTTTCTAGGAAGTTTATCCCCAGTCTTCCAGACTTTGGCTCATTAGAACTAATCGAGAAGGCTGGAATGCATCCTGTGGAGTCCATCATCACTGAACTGCTAGGATTTACATCATCGTTAATGCAGCTTCTGTTTCAAGTCACAACGTTACACAAAGGAATTGCTGCAAAGGTATGTTTCCTACGACTGTTGGATATCTAGGGCGGGGCGTGGGCGGGGGGCGGGGGGGGGGGAGTTGGGCCCACGTCCTCACTTTCCTGTATCTTTATACAATAATTTTTTGTGTCCCCAAGTCTTTCAGAATGCAATGAATGGCATAACACCTAAGAGGATGCCCCTGTACTAGGCTCAATTTCTGCCGCTCTCTCATGTACGGTCTGCATTCCTCCCCGAGAAGAGACGGGTGGACGCGTGACTCGCAAACCATGTCTGTGACGAAAATTCATAATTTAATTCATGTGGCGCTCCTGGTCGCCGGAAATGTCGTCTGATTACAACCTGTACGGGCACAAATCACACCTACAGCTTGAAACAGTTCTCTACAGTCAAACCTCTATAGAGGTTGACCTTTTACATGTAAGAGGTGATCAAAATTTAGTGCGTTATGCTGTTGAGTAAACTGATGAGCGTGTCTACACATCTGTAAGTTTCAAATGACATATCAGTTGGTGCGAAGCATGGGGAGTTTATTACCCAGTAGAAAAATACTTGGAACTCGTAATTTGAGAGAAATATGCGTTACAATTCTACTAAAACAATCAGACTAGGCCCTCTCGACTTCTACGAGGTGAGTTCAACCTTGAGCCTCAACAACTAGTATCAGGACAAGAGTTTTTATTAATTAAGTCAATCTT